AAGCGCTTATTCCACTGAGCTATCTCCCAGTCCCCAAAGACTCTTTGATAGTAAGAACATTTATTATACTGATTTTTAATATTCCAACTAACACTGGTGAATTGTATGCTCAAAATATGTGGTGAATATTTAAATTTAAAAAATTATCTGGGCATGGTGATTCTTGCCCATAATACTAGCATTTGGTAAGCTAAAGCAGGAAGATTGCCATGAGTCTGACTACTGACTACATAGTGACTACATAATGAGTTTAAGGCCATCTTGAACTACATAAAAAGACCTTGTCTCAAAAAAATACTCAATTTTTTTTTTTACAGTAAAAGACACATTGTCATTAATCCCCCTCAAAATTATCCCCCTTGCCCATCCTTCTTGTCACTTCCTGAAGCAGTTCTGGAAGTTCTCTTTTGTGAGCATCTTTATGAAGTGTGATAAAAATTATAATAATTGCTGGGGCCAAATGCCATGCAACAGTAAGGCAAGCTCATAAAAACATGATGGTGTGTCTTCATCCACTTATACACCAGCTCTGAAAGGAAAATATTTTGAATTAATTCAGCCAGGTATGACAGCACAACCGAAGACACTCATAAAAAAAGGAGTTCTAGAACTGCTTCAGAACATGGCATAAAGGTGGGGAAAAGTGTGTTTAAAGCACAAGAGAGTATTTTGAGGTGGCTTTGTTGTAATATATTACTATAGGAAATGTTTTAAGTTTAAGCATTTACATGCTTTTCAATCACATTATTATAGGATACCTTAGTCACAAGTCTCTTGAACTTCTAGAGAATCTACAGACTAAACAAGAGGATTAACCGCAAAATATAAAATTCACCCTTTCTCTAAATATTCCTCCAGGGAACTCTTCTAGGATTAATGAAATGGACCAGAAAGCTGCATGCAGCCTAAATCACATGGATGTATTTGGCCCATCCCATTATAATCACTATTGCCAAATCCCACCTTGGTTTTAAGACATTATGGAACATGAGACAACCCTAACCAGTTGTTTTCTTATATTTACTGTAAAAATGAGAAGGAAAAGCTAATTTTTCACCAGTTTAAACATTCTCTTTTAAAATTCCAATGGAAATATATTTCTTTCCTATAAGAAGTAAAAACAGCTTTGCCTGAGTTAGGTAATTTTCTTAAAGTTGTAATAACCTGGTTGGCCTTTTTCCTATCTTTTATCTACATGTGCTTCAGATATTTTGTAAGTTACCTCAAATCCTCTTGAGCAAAATACAGGAGACAGATAGATATAAAACTCTCTATAAAAATTTCCATATTTATAGTGAAAATGCACCTCTTTCATGGCTAAGGTCCTCATTTCCTCTCCAGAGCCCTTTCACCTTTAGACAAAATGGCCCTTTCCTATCTTCCACCAGCCTGTTCTTGTACCATCATTACCAAGCTCAGTTTTTGCAGAGGTGGACAGCTGGCCAGATGAACGGGTGGAAGGATGATGGACAAATAGTAGCACTGATCTATTAACTGAATGACTCATTAATCAATGAAAGGACTCTAACATTTTAATCGCCCTGAACAAATGTAACTAATGGCTTTATTTTTCCCTTGCTAACCCATAATTTGTTACTCAAAATTATAGTAATATAGCTTTTAGCATAGTGTGGTATGCTCACCAACACCACTAATGCACGGCAGATGGTGACCCTTATCATTGTTAGTGCTGACATAATCTAAATATGGTCATAGGCAGTGTCTCTCTGGGAAAGGTGCGAGCTGATCTCAGATGAGAGTCTCCTTTGGAAATGAGCAAAGCAAGGCAAGGACTCCATAATGCAAAAGGCCAGGGGGGTTGTTATGGGAAGGAACCCTGGATAAGAGCAGATGTAACAGCAAGTCAGTGTCCAGACAGCCAGAAGTCTGACAAGATTGAGATTTCAGCACTTAGAAAGCCTCCTAGTGTTTCTTTTTCTTTCTGTCTTTTGTTATGTGAATCCGTTTCTTTTTACCACCAAAAAGCACAAAATCTTACCTTAATCCCAAAGTCATCATGACCCAATTTAAGATAAAACACTCAAGGGAATGTTTCTGAGACTGGGAGGATGGCCTGAGTTAAGCTACTTCCACATCATGCCGCTGCAGTTTAGCCCAACCAAAAAGGCCTCACTTGGAGGCACTATGATTTTCAAAGTTTCCCAAAACTTACTGTTCCTTTTATACTTTCTCAAAACCACAAATGATCAGAAAAACCTGCGCTCAACACAACAGCCTTTGTTCAAGTGGGAAGCTTCTATGCAGACTCAGCGTGTCTGTGGCATCAGCTTCAAAGCATTAATCAAGCCTGCTCATCCCTGTGGCCAGGTCCAAATCCCTTGCTCTGTGACAGCTGCCCTAGGAGGGGGTGCACTGCATGCCCACAGCCAGAGCATGGTTATCCCTGCCACAATGGAGGGGCTCATCTCACTCCTGGGTCACAAATGTGCATGGGTGATGAATGAAGCATATGTTTGTGGAAATACCTTTAATCAGGTATGCCCAAACAATTTTCATTTATTCTTGTAATTATTTCATATTTACTTATAAAGTATATGTGTGTGTATATATATATATATATATATATATAATGTTTTTAGATTAAACTATCATAAAAATTGTGTCATCTGCATCTGTAATCCTAGGATTTGGGAAGTGGAAGAGGAGGATCTCCATGAGTTTGAAGTCAGCCTGGGCTACATAGTGAGTTCAAGGTCAGCCTGAACTGCATAGCAAGATCCTGTCTCAAGAAAACAAATACACACACATACATACCCCCCCACACAAAAATACAAACTAAACAAAACACAACTAATTATGATTACTCAGACAGAAGAAAACTGTGTTAGTTTAACAAGATACCTGTACTACTTGCCAATCTGGTTATATTAAAAAAAAAAAAAAAAAACAGATTTCAGAGTCTGGCTGTAGGATTCTTGTGGATGAGAAACTGAATCAGCAAAAAGCTGCAGAGGTAGAGAAAACAAACTTGAGATAAAGGAGATGAGACAGCGGGAAGAGTGAGCGCTAGCACATAGGAGGCTGGAGGCCAAAGGGAAGAGACAGTGAGAGCCCCTAACTGATCCCTCGTGAGAACAGGGAGCTCAGCGCTCCGCTTTGCAGAGTGGCCCTTGCTTCTCCATGCAGTAGCTGCCCTCCCTGGCCACAGACCCCCAGGAAAGCTGCTGAAGGGGCCTGGATGCAGGGGCACCACAGGACATGGAAAGACTGGGGTGGGGGCTCTGATGGGACAAACTGATGTTCACAAAAACAAAAGAGATAAGAGAAACAGCAAGGGCAGAGCACAAAGCCAGAACAGATTAAAGACCCTGCCTGCCCCAGTGACCTCCAGAGACTTGGAGGACCCTTGCTTTCCACCACAATGAAACTGCCAACAGCACCTCCCCACATGAGAGTTCTATTTTTAGCAACTGCTTCACAGCCTTTTGAAAAGCCAGCAGGAGAGAAGCACATGAGGTATCCGGTGCCTGGACACTGTGCTCACAGAAGTGCCCACCTCTCTTCCTGCTGCTCCTCCCTCTTTCCTGCCAAGCCTCTCCTTCGCTGTGTGTTATCCACCTGCACCCCTCGCCCCTGCAGGTAACCGAGTCCGCATCCTTCCAGGCCATGGCCTCCACCGCCTCCAACACAAGTGCCACTGACAGCCTTAAGCAGACTACAGATGGCCTCTTGGGTCCTGCTCCTCTTGCAGGGCCATGTCCTGGGTCATCTGGTGTCCCAGATTCCAGATCACAGGAATGCAAGAGAAGAAGCCACACCCTGTTCACACCTTCCACTCCTCTGATCAGGGAGCAGGTGTCTCTAGCAAGCCGCAACCAGGTCCACCTCAGAACCCCAGGGAGCAGTGTGCATACACACGCTCCACAGGAACTCCCGGAAGACATTCATGATTCTTTGACCTGAAAATAGTCACTCACCCAAACATTTGGGGCAGCACTGTCCTGGGGGGGTGTGACTAAGGTGCTGGGGACAAGAGAGAATGGGACAGACTTCTCTCGCGCACTGTGTCCTGCCTCCCTAAGAAAAGAGAGAGAGAGAAAGGCACATTTAGAAAAGTCAGTGTGTACAGACGGCACAACCAAGACATCCGGAGCAGAACTAAGACCCTTCTCTAGGATTCTGGGAATCTCCGTATCCTTGTGTGCCTGGCACAATTGCCCAGGTCCATAAGATTCCCGCAGCAGCCTCAGACCTCTGTGTGGATCCTGCAAATCGCAGCTGCAAACAGACAGCCTCTGGGAGGGAACACAGCCAGGGTCACCTCCCCTCGGCTGCCACCACCTGCCTTCATCTTGTCCCTTTGAAAATTCCCCGTGGAGTAGGTCTAGGGTAACCAGTGTCTCTCTCTGCCTGGGATTTGAGGCTTTTGTCCTAACACCAGGGAAATGTCATGCAAACCAGGAAAAGGGGGCCACTCCCACCTGGGCCTCCCTCTCTCTGCACCCCAGCCTCATGCACACCAAGCAACCTTTTTTTCTTGACACTTTTCCTCCTCTTTCCACCCCCAGCTCCCTGGAGCTCCTACAGACAGCCTTGTCCAGGAAGGCCCCAGTCTGCACAGCTGGCAAGTGTCCTTGGCATGGCCTAATGGTGCCCCAGCCAGCGGAAGTGGCCAATCCGCTGAAAGTAGAAGCTCTGAAAGCTGTGTTCACGAGAACCCCCTTCCTGGCTTCAGGGAGCTAACCATGTCTGTTTCCATTAATTAAGCACCGGTCCTGATGATGGATTTGGAAGAACTGGCGGAGCCTTGGAGGCCTTTAGGAGAAGTTTGGAGCCTTCAGATACTTCCCTACTTTCTCGCCCCCATCCTTCACTCTTTCTGTCCCCACAGCCTCTTGGTCCCAACCCTTCCATGATCTCGCAACCCTCTTCCTCTGCCAGTGGCCGCCTCTCCTCTCCAGAAGGCATGGATGCAGATGCCTCTGTTCCTCCTCACCAGGGGCATCTGCTCTTCAGCCTCAATGAGTTGGAAATGCTCCCCAGAAAGTGGGGCAGAAGAAAAGGGGGGAAAAAGAAAAGTTCTTTCTAGTCATTCATATCTAACCAGTTTACCCTTGTAACATGAATCATGAAAACTCTTCCTTGCAGTGTAAATTGCTATGAAATTTATAAATAAAAGTTTTATTTCATTTTAGAAAACCAGTGAATTTGGTAAGTAGATCACTAGGAAAAATGAAATTTCAATGGATTGGCTTTGCTGAGATTAGAAGTAGAACCCCAAAAGTGAGCTTTAGGGCCCCTTTTTTTCTGGAGTGGATAATATATATCTGAAAGGGACTTGGAAAATGAAAAACTCAAGGCTGAAAAGACCCTGCACCAAAAGAGAGCAGGTCCATGTCAATGCATTTCTAAAACCAAAAGCAAAGCCAGGCCTTTCCTCGCCCAGTCACCAGCACTTTCTGCAGGAAGAGCGGGCCTCAGGCTTGGCGCTCAGAGTGCACGGGCCTCGCCCAGCCTGGCCTCTGCAGCCTTCCTCTGCTTCTGCTTTCTCTTTCTGGTCTGACCATTTTTATTGTAACAGTTCATCTTTTTAGTGGGAAAGAGTGAAAAAGGCAGCAAGTTATACCTCTTTTTAAATATTTGTTATTTTTAAGCCTCTCTGATATTGGTTTCTTCTCCAAACCAAATGAGAACACCTGAAAACATCACCAATTGCTTGTCTGTTGTGTTCAGATTATTTCCAGACTAGCAAGAATCATTTAAAAATCTTCTCCCAAACCCCAGGCTATTCTGAGATTTCTCACCCAGCTCTGCATAATCTTAAAGTCAGGAGTCCCTCCTAGACTTCAGAGGTGGGCAGTCCAAGCCAATCCCTGAGGTCAGCCCCCAGCTTGCACACAAAACACAAAAGTTGTAGCACAGGAATGACAGGGTGGTGCTGACCTTGGCTTTTCATTTCAAAGCAATTCCACTGCAAACAACTTCCTAAGGCTCTGCAGCCTGGGCCACATAAGGCAGCTGTGTGCTGGATTCCCTCAGGCACACAGAGAACGTACTCTTTTCGTTGACGTTCTCTGTTCCTGTTGGATCTGCATCTGTTTTCCAAGTGTATTTTAAAATTTAAAAATTTAAAAACACTGCATAATTGCAAAAGAGTTAGCTTGTCCAACATTTTGGAAATCTGGCAAAAGATTATGTGTACAACAGTAATTTTCCTTACCATAAGGTCAAAGAGCAAACTTTCATACACAATACAACTGCAGTTTGTGTTTCCCAAGAGTCCCTTAAAGTAACTTGAACTCCAGTCTGGGTTTGCTTGTTGAGTCAAATTTTATTTTGTTTGGGTTGCTTACTGTGGCACAGCCCTAGTCCCAAGGCTGCATGCCAATTAATGCCTCCAGGGAAGGTCCAAGCCCTTGCTAGGAACACAGTTGTAGCTCACAGTCTGCTTCTATGAGTCCAACTTACTAGGGATTCTGTTTAAACTACAGTCTGTGTCTCTAAAATAAACTAACAAAGTTAAAACAGGAGGAGTAAACATTTCTGTTTCTAAAAATGGACAAATCCCTCCTGCAACTCTACTATCAAATTTTTTTATAAAGAGGGTACAAAATAGTATTAAAACATAAAAATTACAAGTGATACAGAATTTTACTTAGCAAAGTAATATGAATTTCACAGTGTGTGTTGTAATGCATAGTGTTGTCTTCTAACCAGTTATTCATATTATCAGATATATTCATGTAAAACTGGAAGAAAAAAAGAAATATATAATTAAGAAGAGAAAAAGGAGAAACAATCAAAAAAGGAGACGAAAAAATTAATGAAAAAAAACCAAATTGATGATTATCTGCTCCTTTCTGTAGATCAGCAGAAACCCACAATACAGTTGTCCAAACCATCTTGTTTATAGATAGATAGATAGATAGATAGATAGATAGATAGATAGATAGATAGATCTTTTCCTCCCACTCCCTTCCATTGTCAGATCTTCACAACAGCACTGATTGGTTTTCCAGCCTCAATTCCTGGATGGTTATGTGTGTCTGGGACTCCTTTATGGCACCTATCAACCATCCCACTATTCTGTTAAATATGGTTGAAGATCTATGGCAAATTTGTTGTGCATGTGTTCTTGAATACAAAACACTCAAAGCACTCCCTCTAAGGTACTTTCACCACCAGTGAGCCTATCCCTATCATCCCTATCCTGCTGAGTTTCAGGGTGACTCACACTGCTTTCAGGATAAAGTCAGTGCAAAAGTCAGTCATGGCCACACTGCTTCCTGTTTTCCTTCAAATAGAGCTGTGCCACATTTCCCAGAATGCTCTAAAGGTGGGCATGGCTATGTGACTCAGTTCTATCCAATCAAAAGAACATGGGGAGAGTATAACATGCTCACAGGATGACGTGTGAAATTCCTAACACACAACCTACAAGCTCTACTTTTTCTCTCTTTTTTTTGGGGGGGTGGGGGGGCTGGCTGAAAAGAGTAGACACAAAGCCTGGCTCCCTGGGTCACTTATAGAATTTTGGTCCCCAGGCCCATGCTATGAACAGTCAGATGAGCAAGAAATAAATTCTGTTGTGTCATTGGGGTAGTCTACATTAGTCTACTTTTTCAAGACACCCTGGAGCCTTCTCTTCAGAATTTCCCCTGTTGCCAATATAAGAAAGGGCTGCAGTGTATCTTCTTTACTGTCCCTAAATACGTCTCATGGCTTCCATTCTCTTACACGCAACTGTTTCACTCTGTCACCCACCACTGACCCCTGCCAATACCCTTCCTCATTCAAGGTCAGGCTCCATTCTCTTCTGCACTGAAAAGCCTTCCAAAGCCTGAACTTCCCAAGAGTCTCCTCTTCTTCTCATAGCTGCTCCTACTTTGTCTATGCCCTTGTATGCTGGGCACATGCATAATTTTTGGGAACAAACATAAGTGTGTAATGCTGAAAGATGGTGTTAGTTCTGTCCCCCAAGCCACACTGTCCTTGGGACAAGAGAAAGCCCTGTGTGCTAGGTGCCCTTTACAAGAGTGAGGACTATTGAGTACATAAAGAAACCCTCACCATAAGAGCTCCACGGTGTCGAGGAGTTATAGGACCTCTTTGATATAGGAGGCTGAGGAGATGGCAGGGATCTGGGTGGCCTGTATGCATACATCCTTGTCATCTCTCTGGGTTTTGCACATGCTAACCTTACATTTGGCACATTTGGGTATTAACTAAATGTGGATGTTCATGTGTCCAAAAGCAACATTTAATTTCAACATGTAAAACAACTGCTACCAGCATAATGGAAAATCTGCAGTATTCTGTTTAAATGTTTAAAAATTCCTAAATGGTTAAAATACGTAGGGATAAATGACTACATTCATATCTGGTTGACGCAGAAGAGAATGCTAGAAACTTACACAGGACTTGTATCCTCTGGCTTTCAACATCTGCTTTTCTTTAGAAAAAGGAAGCTTGCTCTTTAGAGATGGTCATTTATTATAATTGCACATCCAAGTGCTTGATGGTAGCTGTTTTTAAAACAAAGACCTGAAACTGATCACAGGTCTATGTTCCATTCTTTTAATTTTATTTTACTTAATTCAGTCAAGAACCCAATTGCTTTGTGTCAGAATTTACCCTACAGCAGCAACTGTGCTTCATAATAACAATCTGTCTTCCTGACTGTGGTGATGAGTGCGAGGTAATAAAACCACAGCCATGTGCGTGCAGGATGCTTTTCCAGGCTGAGAGGACCCACTGGGAACGAGACTGGAAACAGTCCTGCAGCTTGTGACGAGGCCCTCATCCCTGATCACAATGCAAAACCTGGCTCCCTAACCAGAGGCCAGGAGCAGAGTTGCTTAATAGTTATCAAAAAGTCTCTCCAAATGTGGTAGAATTCACTGTAACTGAATCAGCTAACTTCTGCCACAGTTTAGACTTTTTTCCTGTACTGTTTTGCAAGACTGGAATTCACTGTTGATTCTGAAGTGGTGGTGGGAAGAAAGGAGAGAGAGAGCTCTTGGCCAGCACAGGACAGACATCAAAGCAGACAGGCTGCTGGGCCAAGGAGGCCCAGG